TTCACAAAGCTCCTTGGTGACCGTCGGGGTTCCCACTCTGTCTGGCCTTCCACCAGTGGCCAGGCCTGAGAGGTCAGTTCCCCTGCCAGCTCAGACTTAAGACCTGGGGATTCCAGGTCTCACTCACCTCCCTCATCTCACCCCAGATTGATGAGATGCCTGAGGCCGCAGTGAAATCAACCGCCAACAAATACCAAGTCTTTTTTTTCGGGACCCACGAGACGTGAGTGAGGGGTCAGCTGGGTGTGGGGGGAGATACCACGGGGCGGGGGCCACTCTGGGGAGAGAGAGAGGTGGCGACAGTGCCCCCTCTGCACCGGGCTGTTGCAGCTCAGGGGCAGCGAGGGGCTCGAGAGCACAGTCTCCCATCTCTTACCAGGGCATTCCTGGGCCCCAAAGACCTCTTCCCTTACGAGGAGTCCAAGGAGAAGTTTGGCAAGCCCAACAAGAGGAAAGGGTTCAGCGAGGGGCTGTGGGAGATCGAGAACAACCCTACTGTCAAGGCTTCTGGCTACCAGGTGAGCTGCTATCTGCCCCAAAGACCCTGGAAAGAGGTGTGGCTGCGGGCTCCGGGAGCCAGCCACAGTGGTGCTTAGAACACCAGGACTCGGTGTAGGAGCTCTAGGAGCTCGTGGGGTGGTGGGTGGGACKTCCTGAGGGGTCGGGGTCTTGGGGTGTCGTAGTGGTGATCAGGATCACTGTCTGACAGCAACCTAGTGGGGGGTGGGTGTGTCAAGAACAGGAGGAAGCGGTAAGTGGGGACAGGCCTTTGGTTGGGCCCAGCGTGAGGACAGGAGGACAGGACATGGCCTTACTCTTTCCACGAAGGCTTCCAGGAGGAGGTGCTCGTGAGCCGGGCAGGACAAGGCGGGAGGGCGGGGGGCGGGGGTTGGCGGGGAAAGGGTCCCAGCTCCCTATGGGAGAAGTTGACCCGAGGTTTTGCCTCCTGCTCCAGCCCTCCCCCCTCCTGCACAGAGCCCTGCCTGCCCGGCCAGTGGGTTTACCCCGGGGCTAATCCGACAGAGGTGGGTCTCAAATCACTTGTGAGACTGGGCACCTGGGTGGGGGTGGGGGTGAGGTGGGAGAAGGAAGGAGTGAGTGGCTGAGGGGGTGGCCTGGGGAAGGGGCCCCGCCTGGCCGCTGCTGGTGCCACTCAGCAGCCTCCGCTGTCTCTGCCGCAGTCCTCCCAGAAAAAGAGCTGCTCGGAGGAGCCGGAGCCCGAACCCGAGGCCGCAGAGGGCGATGGCGACAAGAAGGGGAACGCGGAGGGCAGCAGTGACGAGGAGGGCAAGCTGGTCATCGACGAGCCGACCAAGGAGAAGAACGAGAAGGGGGCGCTGAAGAGGAGAGCAGGGGACCTGCTGGAGGTAACTGGGCCCCAGGATCCCTGGAGCATGCTCAGGGGGCACCCCCACAGCATCAGGACCCTGCCTCAGCAGTCCCCAGGCTGAGAGGGACATCCAGTCCCCAGCTGAGAAGACGGGACTGTGGGTGGCAGCCCAGGAAGGAGCCCCTGMGGAGGAGAGGAGGGGACACAGGTGCGTAGCTGGTGGCTTCTCTCCGGCGTCAGCCCTCCTCTCTGCCCATCCTGCCTAGGACTCCCCTAAACGTCCCAAGGAGGCCGAAGAACCCGAAGGGGAGGAAAAGGAGGCAGCTGCCTTGGAGACGGAGAGGCCCCTCCCTGGGGAGGTGGAGAAGAATAGCACCCCCTCTGAGCCTGGCTCTGGCCGGGGGCCTCCAGAGGAAGAGGAGGAGGAGGAGGAGGAGGAGGAGGAGGAAGAGGAGGAGGAGGAAACTGCCAAGGTAGATGCAGAGGCCCCGGGCGCCAGAGATCATGAGAGGTGAGTGAGCCCTTTGGCCCCTGGACTGGGAGGGCCCGGCCACCTGCAGAGAAGGAGAAGGGCCTGCAGTGGTCAGCCTCCCACCCGGGAGGCAGGCGGGCTGGGTTCTCCCAGGAGACCCGCACTGGCTGGGGCGAGGCCAGGCAGAGGCCACACCATTAACCCTTCTCCCCTCCAACCCTCCCCCGCAGCCTGTAGCCACCAATGTTTCAAGAGGAGCCCCTGCCCCGTTCCTGCTGCTGTCTGGGTGCTACTGGGGAAACTGGCCATGGCCTGCAAACTGGGAACCCTTTTCCCACCCAACCCATTCTCCTTCTCCATTCACTGTCCCCACTTTAAGTYCAGCCCCCAGAGATTGACCTGGCCCTCACCTCCAGGTACCCCCACGATCTTGAAGCAGGGCCATGTCTTCTGCTCCCTGGGATGAAATGAGGCCATTGTGTCCCTTCCTGCTTGGAGCTGTTGCCCAGAGCTTCTACTGGGGCCTGGGCCCCTGTTTCCACCTGACACTCCTGTCCTGTCCCCTAGGCATTTTGGACCTCTGGGTTAAGATCAGAGGTGGGAGTGGAAGAGGAGGAGTGTGAACAGCGAGGTGGGCCCCCCCCACCCTGGGCCTGGAAGGGGCAATCCCATGAAGGTGGACATCTCTTGAGCTCCTGTCCCCTGCTCCCACACCCATTTTCCCAGCTGCCTGGATTGAGGGAAAGTGGGACATCTTGTAGGGGAGAGGTCCCAGAAATTCTTGATAATTGACAACACCCATTCTTTCGCTGACCCCAGGAGTTCTGGGGGTTGTAGCTGATTGTCAGAAGACTTTGGGGCTTCCAAGTTGTTTGGGCCAAGAACATGGGCTCTGAAGGGCTGACTTCGCCCATTTAGGTGGGAGTGTTGAGTGTCTGTTCCCCTTTAGATCTCAGGGGTCAGAGATGGGMTGCCCTGGGAAGACCCCTTACTGCCCCGTTCCCTCTCCCCACAATGCTCGAGGCCAGCCTTCAGTCACATATGTCACCCAGACATAAAGGAAAAGACACATTTTTWAGGAGATGTTTTTAATAAAAGAAAATTACAAAAAAAAATTAATCCCCCCAACCCTCTGTGTGCTCCCCCTTCTGGCCCTTTCCTCCCCACCACTGCCCCCATTTCTGAGGTGCACGGGTGGATCCCCTTCTGTTTGGGGCTTGATGACTTTCTTTTTGTTGCTGGGGCTTCGGTGTTTCTTCTGGTGTCCTCTCCCATCCACACACCCCGACTCGGTCCCCTCAGTGTTGCCACCAGATCCGATTTGTAACCCACTGAGAGGACAGGGGAGTGCCCTTCCCAGACCAGAGAGTGGTCTCTGCCTCTCTGTCTCTTCTCTCTGCCCCCTCCCTTGGGCTCTCATGAAAAATTGCTGACGGTAGCTTTGGAAGTTTAGCTCTGAGAACCGTAGATGATTTCAGTTTTAGGAAAATAAAACCCGTTGATTACTACATTGGAATACGGACTGATTTCTTTGGGGGTGTATTGGTTAACTGAAGAAGGGGAGTGGGGAAGGGAATGCACTGATTTTCACAGCACKTTTAGGGGGTGTCAGCCTCCTCCATTACCCAGCCATTAGGAACCCAGAATTCTAAAAGATGGGTGTGGAGCACACGGTAATCCCAGCGCGACTTGGGAAGCCAGAGTCAGGAGGATGCCAAATTCAAGGCCATCCTCAACAATTCAGTGAGACCATGTCTCAAAAAAATAAAAGAAGGGGCTGGGGCTGGGGCTCAGTGGTAGCACACTTGCCTGGCATGTGTGAGGCACTGGATTGGATTCTCAGCACCACATGTAAAAAAAGATCTATCAACAAGTAAAAAAATTTAAAAAGTTAATTTAAAAAAAGTGGGGGGCTAGGGGTGTAGTTCAGTGGTACAGCACCCCACAGTTCAATTTCCAGTACCAAAAAAAAAAAAATATTTTTCAGTGTTGCACCTGAAGACAGTCCTATAATAAAACATAGTATATTATATTAAAAACACAATAAGGCAGCAGTATCAGCCATAGCCAATATGATCRTGGAAGTGGACGCTTTGAGCTGGTTGTAGAAATAACTTTGACCCCAAGGGCAGGCCAAAGATAGGCGAAGATAACCTCTCCCTCTGCTAATGCTAGGGTTACTGGTCTTGGGCTACTTGCCACATGACAGACCAGTTGAAAAACAAGGGGTTAAGGCAAGGAATGCAAGTATTTGAGAAGCCATCTGGCCAAGAAAATGGAAGGCTCTTGTGCAAAGTCCATCTGGCTGGGAGGCTGGTTTGGGGCAGTTTACAGAGGAGATGGGTGATGGGACTGGTGGGTGCCTTCCCTTAGGGGGAGGTTTATGGCCAAATGACTCACATTTGATCCTAATCAGCTAGTCAGGAGATGCTTTCTCGGTTCTGCACATCCAAGAACAAAGATCACTCTCCTTGGGCTATTGTCACTGACTAGTTTGTCCACTGCAAGTTCCTAACACGAGGGACAAGTTAGAGTGGACAGCTGCCCGGGCCCTGTTGCTGATCACCAATTCCAAAGAAAGAAAACATTTCACCTGACAAGGGTCAAGTCCAGTTAAACATCTGGTCTGGATTCTTAATTTTGTTAGGGATGCCTGCTACCCTTAACTGGTCATATGAGGATAGGGGAGAAGATTGACAGCTGGGATCCTCCCAGTACTTCCCAAATTATGTGGACCCTTTTGAGTTTCCTACCCTATCTGACATTTTGTGTCCAGGTCACGTACTAGCRGTGGAAGGGCTCCTGTCTCATTCCTTCCTCCAAAAAATATGACACTTTTTGGATCTGTCCTAACCCGCTTCAGCAGAGAAGGGTGTGGACAGAAATGACYGGTCTCGCTTGCGGGGGGGACATGTAGTTATCCTTTGAACAGGAAGCCACAACCAGCTAGAAAATGGAGCCATCCTCTGGAGAAACTACAATTCCCAGCGGCTCCACACAGAGCACGCGCAGGCGCGACCCCTCCCTCGCCGCCTTCAACTCCCGGCATGCTCCCTGGGGCTCTGACGCTCTCTGAGCTGCCCAGCCCGGGCGAGCTTCCGGTTCCGCCTTACTTGGCCGCGACGGACTACAGTTCCCAGCCTGTGCGGAGCCGAGATGCCTTATTGGGCTTCCGTTCTGCACTGGGACTCCATTTCCCAAAAGCCCGAGAGGCGGGGACGAGCGGGGCTGAGCACCCATGTGCAGAGGTGACCCACGGAGGCTCAGCAGTGCAATGCAAAGGGAAGTGACCGCCGTTTAGYCCAGAGGGTTGCAATTCCTGGGCTCATCCGGAGGCAGGTGCGGGAAGGGCTTTCCTTTTTCCTGGCTGTGGCATAGTCCCGCTCCCGCGCGGTTTCTTGCCACTGAAAGCTCGGAGCGGGCGGGTGCTGAAGAGGGCTGGGGCGTGATGATTTCYAGGGTCCGGGTCCGCACCGTGGATGAGGCTGGGGGGCGGGGGAGCCGTGACCTGAGAGGCGACCAAACGGTCAGCGCCACGACCGTGCACTGGACATCCAGAGCACGCAGTGGACGCTCCGCTGCGGAAGGTGCACCAGCCTCTCCAGACTGTGGAAGGAACCCAAGGGAAAGTTCTAAGGGGCGTGCTAGCCGCTCTGGGCTGGCTCCTGGCATCTCCCGGAGTCGCAGAACTAGAATGACTGACTGGGCTTCATCCATAAGTTGCACGTTTCCAGTTCTGCGAATATTTCAACAAAGTTGACACAGGTGTATTAAACTAGGTAGGAAATTACAGTCTAGAGCTTATATGATATTATGCTAATATAAAATCATTGCATAGTTAYATTCTTCCTGATGTTATTACATATTATATGATTATATAGTATGGCACATTTAAGGTTTTTTTTTTCTTTTTTTTTGGGGGGCGGGTACTGGGGATTGAACTCAGGGGCACTCCACCACTGAGCCGCATCCCCAGCCCTATTTTGTATTTTATTTAGAGACAGGGTCTCACTGAGTTGCTCAGTGCCTCTCCCTTGCTGGAGGCTGGCTGTGAATCTCAGTGTGCCACCAAGCCCGACCACATTTTATTGTTTATTCTCATTCCACGTCTGGAATATGGAACAGAATGAGTTAAGGAACTCGGTGCAGCCCTCCATGCAAGTGACTTGGGTCTTATGATTGGCCCTGCTCCYGTTAAGCTGCATGAACTAGGGCAAGCCGTTCTGGCTCTCAGGTCCTCGGTTTCCTAGTCTATAGAAGGGACCTATCAAACTTGAACCCGACAGTCTTTTCTCTGGGCAATGTGAAGACCAAGTATGAGGAATATTGAAATTCCCAGCATTAGGCTTGTCACACAGTAGTGGTGTATCACCATTTATTGAGTCTGAATAGGAATACTTGGGCCCTTACATTCAACCACTATTAATTTATAATAGTATTGGGACCTTTTCAAAGATTTTCTTACTGAGATGTACCTTTTTATTTTTCTGCAGTCCTGGGGATTGAACCCAGGGCCCCACATATGCTAGGCAAGCACTGTACCACTGAGCTACGTCCCCAGCCCTCATACTGAGATATATAAAGAAAAAAAAWTTTTTTTTCCACTATTAATTTAAGCCAGTTGAATTTTTAGAAAATGCAAATGTCATGGAAAGGAACAAAATGGAAATTGACAGCCCTCTTATATAGTTCTTCCCCACAACCAGGGCTTTAGTTTATTTCTTTTCCACACATATTAATGCCCACACCAGAATATATATTACATAACATGTATACATATATGCATGATATATATGATTAATTTACCCCAAAGGGATAATACTAGTCACATGATCCTACACCTTGCTTTGTTAAAATATTAAAAATAACATAAATGACACCAAGAGCCCTGAAAAGTTTTATGGATGGTGAAACTGACACTCGGAAGGTAAGTTGTCTAGGGTCACACAGCAAAAGAACAGAGCACAGTGTAGAACCTAGATGACAGTAAGGAGTCAAGTCCAGGGTTCTTCATGCCATTAGAATGCATTTTATTAGTATTTGGAAGGTAGGTTCATCCTTCTCCACAAAAGAAGATTAACAGACCTTCTTTATCACTTGTCCTTGAATTTAAATGATAGGATTCAGCRAAGCACCTAGCATGGTACCTAGTGTTCAGTAAACTAAAGATAGCTTTAAATTATTTGTTTATGCAGTATGGGGAKTGAACCTAGGGTCTTGTGTAAGCTAAGCAAGCACTCTACCACTGAGCTCCATCCCCAGTCCTTTTTTATTTTTTATTTTTTTGTTTAGGTGTTAGGGATTGAACTCAAGGGATGCTTTACCACTGAGCCACAAGCTCAGCTCTTTTTACTTTTTTTTTTTTTATTTTGAGACAGGTTTTGCTAAGTTGCTTAGAGCTTACTAAATTGCTGAGTCTGACCTTGAACTTGGGATCCTCTACCCTCCATTCCTGGAGTTACTGGGATTATAGTACATACAGCCATGCCTGGCTAGCTGCTATTATTTTTGCCATTTCTTTTATTAGCCCATTAATTTAGTTCACGGCACAAACTTGGGAGGCTTGTAACCCATACTTAATTGAGAAATTTGGGACCTAACAACCTAAGGGTTAGACCCCACTAGCTTGCATGGTACATCGGAGCATACAGTAGGAACCCCGCTGTGGGTCCTTTCCCTTAGAAAAGAAGCCAGTCTTGGGGAGGAGTAGTTATTTCCTGTCTGAGAATAGACCTGGGAAATGAGATAGGGACATTTTAGCTCCTGTTTTTTTCTGCTACCTCTTTGTTCATTGCCTTGTAACTGCCGGCCTTTGGACCCTRTGCCAGTAATTTGTTCCATTACTTATTTTCTTCCTATCCTGTGTTTTATATATTTGACTAATAATTCCCTTGTGTACTCTACTTGGATCTGCTGGGTTTTTTTTTTTTTTTTTAATATAGTTTTCTGAGAGTCATCATTTATTGCTCTGTACATCAACCCAGAGTTTTTCCGGACACAACATCTTTGTTKGTATGTGGTGCTGAGGATCGAACCCGGGCCACACGCATGCCAGGCGAGYGTGCTACCGCTTGAGCCACATCCCCAGCCCCAGATCTGCTGTATTTTGAAGTGAGCTAGATACAAGGGTCTTTGGCCTCRGTTAATTTTTTTTTTTTTAATTCAAAGTCAGATGTGGGTTTGAATAATGATTTCCCACACTTTAGCTTTGTGGCCACTGGCAAGTTATTTAATCTCTCTGTCCTTATTTGAAAAGTGAAGATCATAGTATCAGCTTGTGAGAATTCAATGACATGGGATCCACCGAGCAGTTGAGTTAGTGCTTTAAAAATGTCCCTTTGCTTCTTTGTCCTCTTTTATCTCTATCCCAGAGCTAACGAGCAAAGTTTCTGAGTCTTCACTGGCGAAGAGAATTCTCAAAGCTCCTAGCTATGCGTCTCTCTGTATTGCTGGCCTTGGCCTCCAAGGTCACTCTGCCCCCTCACTACCGCTATGGGATGAGCCGCCCAGGTTCCCTGGCAGACAAGAGGAAGAACCCCCCGGGGACCAGGCGGCGCCCCGTGGTTGTGGAACCCATCTCTGATGAAGACTGGCATCTGTTCTGTGGGGACATGGTGAGAGCCTCAGGCGGACAGAGTGATGGGGAGTCCTGGGCAAGGGTCCCCCTCCCTGAGCCTCTGTCTTCCCACAGGTGCAGATCCTGGAAGGCAAGGATGCGGGGAAGCAGGGCAAGGTGGTTCAAGTCATCCGGCAGCGGAATTGGGTAGTCCTGGAGGGGCTGAACACGGTGAGTCAAGAGGAGGGGGACGCTCAGGAGGTCTGTCCCATCTGTCCCTCTGCATTAAGAGCAGCCCCGGGTGAGAGTGGCGGAGGGAATGGTTGTGAAACTTGACCTTTTACTTTTTAGTTGGGGCCAAATGTGCTGAGCAGCTGTGGGCAAGCCCCCGCCCCCTTGCTTCCTGACACAGCCTCCTCTCTCTTGGACAGCATTTCCGCTACATTGGCAGGACAAAGGATTCTCCGGGAACCATGATCCCTAGTGAAGCCCCTTTGCTCCACTCCCAGGTCAAACTTGTGGATCCTGTGGACAGGCAAGCACGTGGGCTCCGTTAGAGGACTCCTCACCCTCAAGTCCATGAAGGTGTTGACCACAGCTAGGGATGGGCAGCCCATTTATCCAGTGGGAATGGTCGGTTAGGTGCTCTAGATGTTGAGGGGTCCATCACYTAGCCATAATTCCCTGTGGGTAGTCCCAGGAGAAGTAGAGACACAGGGTGGCAGTCTGTGTTTTTAGCATTGACTTCACGTTTGGGTTGGGGTGTGGCTGGGAGCCTGGCTCCTAGGTCGTGCTCATTTTTTTTCCTCCACCAGGAAACCCACTGAGATYGAGTGGAGATTTACGGAGGCAGGAGAGCGAGTACGAGTCTCCACAAGATCAGGAAGAATTATCCCCAAACCTGAATTTCCCAGAGCTGATGGCATTGTCCCTGAAACATGGACTGGTGAGGCTGCATGGGGGTCAGGGAGAGGATGGGGACAGCGGGAATGAGAGGAAAGGATGTTTAGAGTTGGCAACCCTCCCGCGTCCCGTCTCCTTTCCTCTGACTCAACAGATGGCCCCAAAGACACATCAGTGGAAGATGCTATGGAAAGAACTTACGTGCCTCGTCTGAAGACACTGGAGGAAGAGGTGATGGAGGCAATGGGGATCCAGGAGACCCGGAAACACAAGAAARCCTATTGGTATTGAATCTGGGGAAGACAGCTTCTCCGGCTTTTTATCTTAGCCTTGAAGGCCAAAGCACTATTTTCAGACACCAATAAAGTGCCGTTAGTCTTCCTGTGTGCAGCTGCTGTCCAGGCTGGAGTGGCACCCAGCCCATAAGCCATATCCAGGGCCTGCAGGAGGRAGCCTTTGTCTTCCTGTTGGCGTGRAACCCGGGTGAAAGGTAGCCAGCCTGAAGGAAGCCCTCCCAGGACAGGGCTGCATACTCAGGAGTGGTAACCAAGGAAGAGAAAGGTTTCCTCAAAGGAGACCTCCGAGCAGCAGAAGCTGCTACCCAGGCCTCTTGCTAAGGAGGGCACGTGTCTGTTCTGTTCTTTATAAAAATAGAAGAGCTGAGCACCATGGCGCACACCTGTAATTCTAGTGACTTTGGAGGTTGCAGCAGGATGGTGGCAATTTTTAGGTCAGCTTGAGCAATTCAGTGAGATCCTGTCTCAAAAAGAAGGGCTGGGAATGTAGCTCAGTGGCAAAGTGCCCCTGGTTCAATCCCCAGTATCACCCCCCCCGCCCCCACCCCCAAAAAAGGAACGAAAGTCAAGTCATTGTGTTTAAATGTTTTTCTTTATTGATTTGTTTCAATGCCAGAGATCATTCCCAGGGCCTCCCACATGCTAGGCAAGTGCTCTACCACTGAGCCACACCCCCAGCCCAGTTTTTAATAAATTAACAATAAAACTTCACACAATATTACATAACGTCGACAGAGAGAGAGTATGAAACGGAGTTGGTAGACAGCTGGGATCCCAGGGAGGACGCAGGCTGCTGTGCACCCCTGGGGTTTCAGAAGGGTCTGCCTCGGGGTATTCAGCTGTCTTCAGTCTCCAGGGCAGAGAAGGCCTGGCCCAGGGGCATCTTGGTGGCCACCAGAACTAGGTTTCTAGGAGACAGCTCTGGGCTGAAAATGGGCAGGAGCTCAGCATGGAAGCCTAGAAGAAAGGGCTAATCAGAAGTGTCTTGAGACATCCACCGCCTTTTCCCCAAGGGGACAAAAGAGACCCTGTTCTCAATGATGGAGTGCTTGCTTAAAATCTGTTCCAGGAAGGCACCACCAGAGGCTCACTTGGTAGGATTTTTTTTTWWAWMRTTTGTGTGTGTGTGTGTGTGTGTGWGAGAGAGAGAGAGAGAGAGAGAACCCAGGCCTTGTGCATGCATGGTACGCACTCTATCAACTGAGGGGTATCCCAGGCCGGAATGTGCATTCTTTAACAAACCCCATACCCCAGCCCACCAGCGATGACCCAGGCCCAGCAGATGTGGAGCCTGGGACTTGAAGGACCAACCCCAGAACTCCAGCTCCTCACCCTGCTCCTGAAGGTAGAGCAGCCGGTCCAGCAGAATCAGCGTCTCTACCAGTGGGGCCAGAAGAAGTGCCAGGCTGAAGAAGGCCACCACACGGTTCTCCTGGGCCTGGTGGGCCCGGAGGGTCGCCAGGTTCAGCGGCAGATGGGGATCCAATCCTACTCGCTGTAGCCCACGCCGCACGTATCTGTGGAATCRGCCCCAAACAGCACTCAGTTTGGTTTTAGAAACCTCTACCTCCCACTTGAACTTTGCTACCCTAACATGCATTTTAAAWTTTTATTATTATTTTGGCAGTACTGGGGAAGACTGAATCCAGGGGTACTTTACCACTGAACTACATCCCTAGTGCTTTTTATTTTTTGAGACATGGTCATGCTAACTTGCCCAAGCCGGCCTTGAACATGCAATCCTCCCATCTYAGCCTCTTAAGTGTGAGTACCGTATCCAGCCTCATTTATTTTACTTTTAAGAAGTGAGGTCTTGGGCTAGGGACATAGCTCAGTTGGTAGAGTGCTTGCCTCGAAAGTTCAAGGCCTGAGTTCAATCCCCAGCACCACAATAAACAAACAGGTGAGGTCTTGTTATATTGCTCAGGCTGGCTCCAAACTCAGGGACTGAAGAGATCCTCCTGTCTCGCCTCTGGAACTAGAGGCATTCACCATAGTGCCTGACCCAATACGCTGGGTGTTTTTTTTTCTTTCTTTCTTTCTCTTTTTATGGTACTAGGGATTGAACCCAGGGCCTCAAGCATACTAGGCAGGTGCTCTACCACTGAGCTATATCCCAGCCTTAACATTTTTAAATGTTTCTCTCGCTGTGAATTCTGCCAATATCAGCTGATACAAAAACTTATTTTCAGCCAGTTTTGTCCAAATTAGCCATATTTTAAGCATTTAAAAAACTATAAAAGCTGGGCCCAGCTGTGCACACCTGTAATTCAGGCATTCAGAAGGCTGAGGTAGAAGGATGGCAAGTTCAAAACCAGCCATGACAACTTAGTGAGATGCTGTCCTGAAGTTTAAAAAAATAAAAGTGCTGCTCAGTGGTAAAGCACTCCTGGGTTCTATTTCTAGTACCACAAAAAAAAAGAAAAAAAAAAAAAAAAGGAAAATACAACTTTTCATTTGGCTGGCGTCTAGCTTGGTGGTGGAGTTTGCCTAGTAAAGCCCTAGGTTCAATTCCCAGTGCTGCAAAAAACAAATTTTATGAACCATACATGGTGGCACACACCTATAATCCCAGCACCTTGAAGGCTGAGGCAGGACGATCTCAAGTTCAAAACAAGCCTCAGCAACTTTGTGAGGCCCTGTCTCTAAATAAAAAATAAGAAGGGCTGGCTCAGTGGTTGAACAYTCCTGGGTTCAATCCCTAGTAACAWACAAACAAACAAATAAATAAACATAATTTTTTTCCCTTTCTTTTGGGTGGTAATGAGGATTGAACCCAGGGGTGCTCTACCACTAAACCATATAGCCCTCCCTTTTGACTTTTCATTTTAAGACAGTTTGCTAAAATTACCCAGGTTAGTCTTGAATTTGTGATCCTCCTGCCTGACCCTCCTGAGTAGCTGGGATTATTACAGGAGTGTGCCACTGCTCCCAGCAAATGAACATCTTCTTTCAAAGAAATTTGAAGAAGTCGCCCCAATCAGAAAACTGAACATCACCTCTCTGGACARGAGTTTTTCTTTGGATGTGCTAACAAGTGGGGTCTCGAGGTAGTGATCCCCCACCCCCCACCGCAACCTCACTCTTCGATCTTGAGCTCGTGGACCCTGGGGATCCCCTGCACCCCAGGCCGACGGAGCTCAGGCCGGGCAYGTCGGATGACCATCTCCAGTGCTGCTCGGTAGCAGTGGGTTCGGAGGCCAGGGCCAGCTTTCTGTAGCCGCTCGGCATACTCCTCCAGGGCATGGCAGGCCCCCTCCCGGAGCCTGTAGGGCAGTTCATAGCCAGTCAGCCCAGCCACCCACTGACTCAGCGGGTAGCCTCCAGGGTCACTAAGCTTCATGTAGCAGCAGCCCACAGAGGCCAGGGCCACCACCTCTGGGCAGCAGCAGAAGTGCCTCAGCAAGGCCACACTCAGATCCCCGCAGGCGTGGAGGCCCGTCAGCAGCAGGCGGGCACTGCCACACTGTGAGCTGTCCAGCGGAAGCAGAAGTTCCCCACACAGGGCTGTGGGGTCCACCCACTGGACCACGTGGTAAGGGGAGTGGCGAGGGCCTGTTTGGGCCACCTGTGGAGGCAAGACAAGACAAAGACAGGTGGAAAGTTCTTGTTCCCAGACCACCTCAGGCCACTGGAAGACCTGTCYACTGTCACTTCCTCAGAAGGAACGTGGGAAAGAAGCTGGGCCATGGGGGAGGGCTGGACCATGAATCCAGAGACAAGATAAACTCTTGTGTTTATCACCATTAATTTTGTAAATRTTTTCATCTGTCAAACTCAGTTTTTCTTTTTTCCTATTATTATTATTTGGCTGTGAGAGATCAAACCCAAGTCTTGTGCACGGCGGGCCACACTCAACTACTGAGCTACACCTTCAGCCTCCCCAGGGTTTTGTTCTGCAGTACTGGAGACTGAATCAAGGGCCCCCCATGCACACTCTGAACTACATCCCCGGCCCTTTTTATTTATTTATTTTTTTTTGAGACAGGGTTTAAGTTGCTAAGGCTGGCCTTGAACCTGTGATATTCCTGCCTTGAGTTCCTGAATTGCCACCATACCTGGCTCTTAACTAATAAYGATTCTAGTATCTGACAGGACTGGGGATGTAGCTCAATGGTAAAGTGCTTGCCTGGCATGAACAAGGCCCTGGGTYTGACCCCCAGCACCACAACCAGTAATAATGCCCGACTGGCCACGTCTGGCTGTTATGAGAAGAACATATTGGTGTGAAAAGCATTTTGTCATTTGGGGTACTAGGGAATGATTCCAGGGACTCTTYACCACTGAGTTATATCCCCAGCACATTTTATTTTGTTGGTACTGGGGATTAAAACTAAGGGTGCTTTATTCCTGAGCTATATCCTTAGCCCTTTTATTTTTTACTTTTTGAGACGATGTCTTGAAGTTGCTTAGAGCCTTGCTAAGTTGCTGAAGCTGGCCCCAAACTTCCAATCCTCCTGCCTCAGCCTCCCAAGTTGCTGAGGTTATAGGCATGTGCTACTGCACTCAGTGGGGAAAGCACTTTGTAACTAAAAAGTGCCTTTGAGATGTGGGGAGGCTTTGGGGAAAGGAAAAAGAGCAGCAACAGGGACATAACCATCTCAAGCCAAGAAACTTAAAAGTGGGGATTCAATCTCCATACCCAGTTCTAGCCAAGCAGACCCTGCTCCTGCAGCCCAGGTTTCAGTAAGGGCTAACCTACCTGTGGGTTCTTCTCCTCTTTTTCTAGAGCCTGAAGGAGTTCCTGGTCCAGGCGCTGGGCTCTCTCCACCAGTCTCTGATTCCCTTCAATGCTCTTCACCTTTAGTCCCAGCCCCAGAGACATGAAGCGGGAGAGGTGGCCCTGAAAGCATGAGGAGGACAAAGGCAGCCCCATTCAGTGCCCTATCCACTGTTATCCTCAGTGGTCTGGACACTGGGATTTCAGGCCCTACAGAAGGCTTAAATTCTGCCCCGCCTGGTGCACCATTTCTCAGCGCCTGCCTCTCTGGGCCTGAGGTCTGATTACCTGCCTTCTAGATATCCTCATGATTCAAAAAGACAGTGAACCAGGGGTTTGTCTCACCTGGCCTGAGCCCACGTCCACAACCTGGGTGCATCCTGTGAGATCACTCAGCTTCTTTACCAACTGAAAGAGGAGGGAATAAAGGTCTCCTGGCCATCGGCTCTTGACTCCCTGAGCAAACACCAGGGAAGAGTGTTTGGGTATGAGGGTACAGGAGTCAAAGATGGAAATGTAAGGTGGATAGAGGGTGCCATGGAAGATAAAAGAGATGGAAACCAGTCAAAGATGAGGGTGGTGCCCCTTCCAGGTTGAGGCCATTTTGCTTGCCCTTTAGGTCAGTGACTCAATCTCCTCCACAGAATAAGAGCATTGGTGAAGCTAAAACCAGACTGAAGATGCAAAAATGGGAATAAGAGTGATTGAGATATAGCTTGTCAATCAATCCAGCAAAATGATGGAGATATGATTACAGTATAACTGCTCAGAGAGGAACYTCTAGGGCTTCCATGGGAGGAAAGGGACACATACTTGTAACCCATGGACTTAAGGAGTGCCTGGGTTCCCAGATACCATCTACATTCCAGCCATCTCCTCACCTCTCCCAGTCTCCGAATCTCATGCTGCTTTTTGGGCCTGACGTGTTTCCGGAAGGGGGCTGTCAGTCGGGAGCTCTGGCTGGGGTTCTCCAGGAACTCTGAGGGGGTTTGAAAGCCAGGCGTCCGGGTAAAGGCCAGGGCATAGGCTGTGGACTTCAGGGCCAGCAGGGTGAGTGGCCACACCGACCTGTACCTGAGATATTCCAGCCCAGGCCACCAGTGAATCACCCTATCACATTCCCAGGGCACCAGTTTATAACCCAAGGACCCAGGAAAAGCTCAAGAGACTCTGAGCAATAGCTTGTTGCAGGACCGAGTGCCTTGGGCTCCCCAGCACAGGACCCCTTTGGCCATACCTGACCACCTCCCCTTCCCCAGGCATCCCCAGTAGCAGTGCGGCCAGCTGTGGTGGGTTCAATCCATCCAGCGCTTCCTGCCATGAGCAAGGGAGTGTGTCCCACAAGTTATCTGTGAAAAATTCCTGTAGGAAAAGGAAAAAAGCAATCAGCAGGATACTATCTTCTATCATTCCCACTCTCCCCCACTCTTCTCTCCCTGGTGATAACCTGTTGTTGTATGTGCTGAACATCTGTATTTTTGCTCATTGATTTATTCACCACAAATTCTAGGGCTAAGTGGGGGTGGTGGCCCACACCTACAATACCAGCAACTTGGGTGGCTGAGGCAGGAGAATCACAAGTTTGGGGCCAGTCTCAGCAGCTTAGTGAGACCCTGCCTCAAAATTAAATAAAGGGCTGGGGATGTARCTCAATGGTAGAATATTTTAACCACAAACCTTACTATTATGTACAAATATAATGCACTATTTAAAAATGGAAAAAATAAATAACTTGTTTCATTTTTTAAAAATGGTAGGGCTGGGGATATAGCTCAGCTGGTAGAGTGCTTGCCTCGAATGCACAGGCCCTGGGTTCAATCCCCAGCACCACAAAAAAAAAAAGAAAGAAAGAAAGAAAGAAAGGTAGAGTACACTTAGGTTCAATCCTTAGTATCACAATAATTAACTAATTAATTAATTCTGGGCTTTGTTTGGGTCATGTACCAAGTTTCTAATCTAAGCTCAGAAAATACAAAAATAAAGCAGAGATAAAATTTTTGCAGAATTTACTGCCTCCTTCCAGCACTGCTGGCCCATATGGCCACTGGCTGCAACCAGCAAATACCTCCTACTCTTTAGAATCAGCTCTTTTGTCAAGCCTGCTCCAGTGCCCTCAACTCCCAGGTGGTTTACCTGGGCACAGTAGCATACACCTTTAATCCTAGCAATAGGAGGCTGAGGCAGGAGGATCCCAAGTTCAAGGCCAGCCAGCCTCAGCAACTTTGTGAGAACCTCAACAACTTCGAGGGACCCTGTCTCAAAAGTAAAAAGGACTGAGGATGTAGCTTACTGTCAAAGCACTCCCGGGTGCCCACCCCCTCCCCCCGCAAAAAAAAAAAAAAAATTTAAAGGAAAAAAACAAATGACTCAGTTTCTTTTTTTTTTTTTCCTTTTRGTACTGAGGATTGAACCCAATGGTGTTTTATCAAGGAGCTACATCCAAAGCCCTCCCCACTTTTATCTTGAGACAGGGTCTCACTAAGTTGCTTTAAGGCAATTTAAATTGCAACCCTCTTGTCTCAGCCTCTCATGAGTATTACAGGTGTGGGCCACCTCTGGGGCTTAAGGTAGATGCTATTTTAACCCCCATTTTACAGATATGGAAACTGATACAGCAATTAAATAATTTGCCCAAGTCAAAAAACTAGTTAAGTAGCAGAACTGGGACTTGAAACAGGTTTTACTCSAGTCCTTGATCTTAACCAGTCTGCTCTATTGCCTTTCTGTGGAGGAAAGCATTCCAGACAGATCAATAATTGCAACTGTAAAGGCCCAGATGCCTGCCACATTTGTGGAAAAGAAATCAGGCCAATTTGAAGTACAGCAGAGTGAATGTAAGAGAATGAAATCTGATGAGGATTGAAGAGGCAACAGCCAGATCATATACAGTGGGTCTTTAGGTACCAGGTATTGAAACCCAGGGGTGCTTAACCACTGAGCCACTTCCCCAGCCCTTTTTATATTTTATTTGGAGACAGGGTCTCGCCAAGTTGCTCAGGACCTTGATAAGTTGCTGAGGCTGGCTYTGAGGCTCCAAATCTGCTGGGATTACAGGTGTGCACCACCACACCCAGCTATATACGTGTTTGTAGATAATAAAATTATTTCATCAAAGGATCCAGATAGCAAGAAATGTCATGATACAACTTACATTTGAAAGGCTTCTTCAGTGAAGAGCTGGTTATGGAGGAGCAGAAGTAAATACAGAGAGTCATTAAGGAAGTAGTTTAGGAGAGAGATGGTGGCTTTCAGGATGATAGCAATGGATATGGAACAAAACAATTTAGAATCTATTCTGAAGGTAGAGAACTTGAAGTATTAGATTGTGGATCAATTAAGAGCTGAATCAAGGATGGTTTCTGGTTTGGGGTCTACACAACTCAATGGATGTGCTGTTTACACATCATCTCATTTGTTCTTCACAATGATCCTTCAGATAGAGATCCACTTTGCAGATTAAACTGGGGGTAGGAGTAAAAGGAGGAGAAAGAGGAGGAGGGGTGGGGGGGAGAAGAGCCTAAGATTAACACAGTAGAGGAGGTAAGATTCTAGTCCTAGTCTGTCTGATGCCCAAGTTGAACTATCCACAAAACAAGGAATTTATTCAAGGTTTGAATGAATGAATGAATGAATGAACACATGACTTCTTGGAACACTTCTTGTATTTCTAGGAGAGTTCAACGCACCTCCAGCCCAGCTCAAATAAATGTCCATGTATTTTATTACCTTGGATTTTAAGAAACTTAGAAAAACAACCTAAGTATTAGAAAGGGGGGGGGGTAGCCCCAGGTTTTTTGAAATTATTATTATTTGTAAATGGACACAATGCCTTTATTTTTATTTTTTAAAATTTTTATGTGGTGCTGARGTMGAACCCAGTGCCTCACACGTGCTAGGAAAGCGCTCTATCACTAGGCTACAACCCCTGCCCCAAATCACCCCAATTYTAAGCTTTTCTTGTACAAAAACAAACTCAAAGAACTCTCCAAATTCTCTCCCTGTCGTGGGCACCAAGCCAACCACACGACCAGCAGCACCCCGCCCACAGCCCTGTGGCCTCACGATGATGTAGGCATCCAGGATGGAACGGTAGAGTGCCAGGACACGCGTGAGGTTCACAGCTAGCTGCCTCCTCTCCTCCGGAGAGAGGCCCCGGGCGGAGATACCCGGCATCCCGGGATGCAGCCGGTGGCGCAGCGGGCGAGAATGCGCGGGAAAGTGGACCCAGGGTCTGAACTGCGCTGGCCCAGGACCCGGGCCGGGCTCATCCGCAGGCAGAACGGGAAGAGTTTCGAGCCCGGTGTCGGACGCAGCTTCTCCGGGATACCATACTGGAGTTACAAATATGAGGCTCAGCCCCGGACCGCCCGACGTCACAAGTCAAGACGTCTGACTGCGCGGTGTCTGGCTGCAAGGCACGCGGGGCGGGGTGTCGGCGCGGTGACGCCACAGAGCCGCGCAGCCGCCCTATGTTCATCAAGTGGGCGGGCGAAACTTAAGTCCCGCCCCTTCCCGTGCAAGGCCCTCCCCTCCCGGAAGTGGGGCCTTGAGTTCCCGGCGCGCTGCAGTTCGGACTAGTAGCGGCTTCTCCTTACCTTCGAGTTGTACCTCCACGGAGCTAGAGGGGCCGGGGAGCGAATCCCGCCCCCGCCCCCACCCACACCACCGCCCCCGCCGCCGCCGCTGCCGCTCCTCACACACTCGGAATCATTGGCTTCGCTACCGGAAACGGGGGCGCTGCGGGCGCGCGCGCGCCGGCCCCCGACACGTTCCAACCCGCGCGCCTGCTGTCGTCCCGGGGCTCGTCGGCACGTGCCGACTTCCGCCTCAGGCTCGGGACGCTTCCGTTCCTAGAGGGGCCCTTCTTGGAGGTAGGTATATGGGCTTGTGGGGACGGTCCCCACCGGGAGAACCGTCGGAATGTGCTTGCTGAGGTGGGTGACCTCGATTGTTAATTCCCTGCCACCCGGCACCGCTGTCGTGTGGTGTCAAAGGTCTCTGCCTGGGAGGACTTGGGTAAGATGCGCTTGGAGGCTACTTCCTCCCAGCAGATCCGAGAGAGGGGTGCCTGGATTTGTGTCTCTATTCGTGGGCTCACGACTCAGATGCCACCTGTGCCGTACTCCGGTGTCACACTCCTCACCTGAGCATCTTAGACTTTGTCTTTCTGGTCGGATTACAGCGCTTGCCTGTTCTGGCTTCCCGGACCTCAGGCTTCGAACTCGACGGGCCCTTTGGGTCCTTCTTTTTCTTTGGTGCTGGTGATGGAACCCGGGGCCTGCGTCCTGCTAAGCACTCACTCCACAGCTGAGCCCAGCCCTTTCATTTTACAATGAGACTGAGACCTTAAAAGGTGAATGACCGCGCAGTTGTGAATCGTGGGACTTCCTGGCTCACACCAGTACTCCTTCCATCATTTCATGATACGGTTTCATTTCCCCTCTGATAAGTTGTTTTGATGCCTTCCCTCTCTTAAATCCCACAGAGATTGGTCTTATCTCATTTCTTCCTCTAGGCCTATGGGTGCAGGTACCAGGATCGCTTTCTTCCCCAGGGTTTTCTGCAGACCTTCTCATGTTGGACAATGTGATTCATTAGAAAAAGAGCCCCTCATCCTCTTCCTATCCATGAGCCACTCTTCCTAACTGCTGTCCCATCATCCACTGCCCTCATGTCTGCTATACTCCTGAATCTGGATTTTGGGAGATCTCCACCCAAAAAGGCATTGGAAGGAAATGCCAAGCATCGAAAGTTTGTTAAGAGGCGGCGGCTCTTGGAACAGAGGGGCGTTCTCAATAAAAAGAAGCAGACTGCTAGCAGGGTGCCTAAATTACACTCAGAACCTCCAAAGAAAGGGGAAAATGTGAGAGTAGATGGTACTTGCAAGATCCCTCCCCTTTCAAAAAAGAACACAGCTGCATCCAGCAGTGGGTCAGGATTGTCCCTGGACAAGAAAGCTGGAGTGTCTTGGCTGACCCCTGCTCCTTCAAAGAAGGCTAATTCTGTTGCAGCTAAAGTAGATTTGCTGGGGGAATTCCAGAGTGCCCTTCCAAAGATTCAGAGCCACCCAACTTGCTCCCAAAAGAAGACCCCCCAGAAGAAGAACCCTTCTCAGAACAATGCCACACAGAATTCCACCAGAGCTCACTCAGAGAGTAAGTGCTCTGGAATATCCCAGAAGTTTCCAGGAAAGATGGTGGCAATTGACTGTGAGATGGTGGGCACAGGACCCAAAGGGCATGTTAGTTCTTTGGCTCGATGTAGCATTGTCAACTATGATGGAGATGTGCTTTATGATGAGTACATCCTTCCACCCTGCCCCATTGTGGACTACCGGACCAGATGGAGCGGTATCTGCAGGAAGCACATGGTGAATGCTACACCCTTCAAGACCGCTCGGAGCCAGGTGAGAGGCATGGGTCTTGATGATGACAGTGAGGTGGGTAGGAGTAGTCTGAGACATTTTTTCCCCTGGTACTGGGCTGTGAACCCAGTAAATACTGTACCACTGAACTATATCCCCACCCCTTTTTGTGTTTTGAGACAAGTCCTCACTGAATTGCCCAGGCTGGCCTTGAATTTGTGGTCCTCCTGGCTCATTCTCCCCAAGTCTAGGATTACAGGTGTGTGCCACTGCGCCCAGCTGTCCGAAATCTTCAGCAAACACTGAAGGACTGTGGAGGGAGAGAGAAAAGTATCAGATGGTTTAGAAGGCTAATTTTTCCTGGGCACAGCAAACTAAGCAACTCAGTGAGACCAATAAAATACAAAATAGGACTGGGCAAGTGGCTCAGTGGTCAAGTACCCCTGAGTTCAATCTCTAGTACCCACCCCACCCCCCTCACAAAAAGTGCTTGTTTGGGGAGTAAGAAGGGTTGAAAGGAATATACAATGGATTTTACTAACAAAGACCTATTTTAAGTATCAAGTGGGATGGACTGAAGTATGCATAGAGAAGTAACAGCCAGTAATGAAGTGCTTTTTTTTTTTTTTTTTTTTTTTAAATTTTTGGTGACCCAGGTCCTTGTGCTCAAGAGACAGGAACTCTACCAACTGAGCTATGCCCCCATCCCAATAGCTAGTAATGAAACTGAGCAGAGTAGCAGGCATGAGGGTCCAGAGAAGGTGCTATTGGGGAATGCCTTATGGAATTGKAATCTAGGATTGAGAGAAGCCGGGTGGAGAGGGCTTCCCAAGGCAAAAAAGCGGCCTGGGAGCTGGGTGCAGTGGCACATGTCTGTAATTTCAGTTATTTTGGAGGCTAAGGATCCCTAGTTTGAGGCCAGCCTGGGTAACAGTGGTAGATTGCTTGTCTAGCATAAGGAAGCCTTGGGTTCCATCCCCAGTAAYGCAAAAAGAAAAAAAATGCAGCCTGTGGGCTGGGGTTGTGGCTCAATGGTAAAGCACTTGCCTTGCATGTGTGAGGCACTGGGTTTGATCCTCAGCACCACGTAAGACTAAAGACACTGTATGTTCACCTACAACTGGAAACATATTTAAAAAATATAACTTGTGTTCAGCACTTCTCTAATAAAAATGAGTCAAGTTTATTCCTTTAAAAAAAAAATATCCTGGGACACTGTATAAAGTGCTGGTAGGGGAGAGCAGACAGCTGTTAGAGMTAGGGCGTCGGGTGCATAACTGAGGCAGGCGGCCGCCGGGTTTCTGTTCTCACGACTAAAAGGCTCAGGGGTCACTCTAGTTAAACTGGGCTAACTGGGCTGCACGAAATAACCACACAAGAGACACAAATACCTTTTTCTTTGGGGTCGCTGTGACGGCTCCTCTGACCTTAAGGGTCCGCAGAAAGAGAGCAGAGAGAGAGCGAGAGCACGCGCTGACCCCTTTTATTGAGGAAAAGCTATTCAAATGAGGCAAGGGGTCAGGTTTCAGGGGGCTGAGTCTGTCTTCATGATGTCCACTGTCAGCAGGTTGACTGACACCTGGGTAGGYCACACCCAAGGGCACAGTAAGAGAAGGGGACACACACAAGGCACTTCCATGGAAGATTCTATCCTAAACAGGGCAAGGGGTTATATTACAAAGGAACAGGTGAGCATAGCTTCACCCATGGGGCTGTAGCAAGACACACCCATTTCTGTGACTGAGCGCCTCAGCACCCAGCTGGGGAGTGTAACTCAGTCACCCATAAGGTTGGCTTCCCACAGGCGGCCTGTGGTGAAAGGCTTAAGAAACACAGGCCGGTGCACAGGAGTTCTCATGCATTCAGCCAACCCACTCATCTGGCTCTGGGATAAATCTTTTTTTGATGGGCCTATATTTGCGGTGCTGAGAATTGAACCCAGTGCTTCACACATGCCAGGCAAACGCTCGAGCCGCAACCCCAGCTCCCTGTGGTAAATTTTGAGAGCCAATAGGAAACAAAAAAGGAGATTGAGCTGGGGCCAGTGAAGGAAGAGGAGAGTGAAAGATGAATCTGCTTAGGAGTCCACCAGAGGGCACCCTGAGTCCATTTTGCAGTTTTAGGTTCCTGCTCTGCTATAATAATTCCTTAAATGCCAGAGGAGTCCTTGGAGGAGGTTCGTCAGAGGTCAGACGACTGGTTATTAGACAAGACATGGGAGAAAGAATTAAAGGACATCCTCTTCACAGGGGCACAGTTGAGTAAAGGCTTGGGAGAAACAGAAGATGGGTCTTAGATTTGTCTCACCTTTAGTGAGAGCTTATGTTGAAGGACATGAAAAAAGGTGGTCGTAGACAGGAAGCTGCCAGGAGCAACTAAATGCTCAGTTAATTGGGCTGCCTGTGGTTTTCATCATAAAGCACTATCCCGTGACCAGGCTGGGATTAACTAAGGTATGCTCGCTGAGTGTGGCCTTTTTGATTGGGGTCTTCTTAGAAGGCCCTGCAGGACTATTGCTCTTGTTCTCAGTCTGTTTGGAATGCCATTGGGGAATGGCCTTCAGAGCCTGCAGGCATTCATTGATTGTCCTCCTTGGTAGTATGTCTTCATGCTTTAAGACTATGAAATGGTGAGAAGTTACTTGATTCCAAGACTAGTGTAAATAAGGTTTTCTCTGCAGTTTTAGTTTATAGTGGTTTTGTCTGTTTGGGTGTTAGGAATTGAAGCCAGGGACACTTTCTTTACCACTTAGATACATCCCCATTCTTTGTTATTTTCTTATATTTTGAGACAGAGTCTTGCCTAGGCTGATCTTGAGTTTGTGATCCTCCTGCTTCAGCCTCCCAAGTTGTTGGGGTTATAGGGGTGCCTCACTGTGCTCGACAGTTCTTAAGCCTCGGCAGTTTCATCACTGCCAGACCCTTCTCCCCAAAGCAACCATACTCACTTATTTGCCTGTAATCTGAGGGCTTCTCTAGTCTCCCTGGAGCCCATCTTTGACTTTGTGGGTCTCATCCATGTGTATTTCAGAAGAAGGAAAATGTGGAGAGAGTATTTCAA